TCTCTCTCTCTCTCTCTCTCTCTCTCTCTCTCTCTCTCCTCAACCAATCGTTGGTGCAAATATGGATGAGTGCAGTCTTATAGCTATGATGGAACATTGTTTTAATAATGTGAATCGAAAATGTAAATCACTTTCATTTAAGTATATTTATATATCAATTGCTTTACCTAGTTGAAATTTAACTTTTATATGAAGTAATGATTGCACTTTATCATATTCTTGTCAATTTTACAATTTTTTTAAATATATTATATGCTTTTCATATATCTAACAAGCGAATAGTGATATCAGGAATTATCTTCTAACATTGAAAACATGCTTCGTAGTTACGTAAGTTTATAATTTTATAGTTTCTGGTGTCTTGTTAGACATTAACTCAAGATTTTGGTTTGTTTTCTTACCGTTAGATCGGATCCTACTGTTTATAAAACTATAACTCCTGCACATTTGATGCGTCAAGCCACTTCATGCACGTATCCCGTTGCGTCACACAGCACAATTCATTTACGTAATAATCGTTAGTTAATAATCAGATATTCTATTATTATAAGCAGAATATATCAGAAAAAAACTAAACATGTTGCAAACACTTTTTCACCTTTATAAATTTAATCGATTTTCTGTAAAATACTATCACATATGCAGTTTTAAAAACGAAATTTAAAGAAAATGCTTAATGCTAAGCTCCTATAGCAGAAGCTATAGAAGCTTACATTTTATTATTGTTTTCTCTACTTCGTCATTTATAGAAATTCCTTGTAATTTATATCTGAGTACTTCAGCTATGCCCGTTTATATATGATGTTTCAAAATTTTTCTTTTATTAAAATGAAACTGGTGTTTATCTTGCATATTAATTTCTAGTATTTCTATTTTTATTTTCTATAACAGTATCATAAATATTTATATTTTAATGTGTTTTTATAAATTTTTTTACTTTCTTTATTCCACATTTCTTATATTTTATTATTGATTTTATAATTACAGCTTTTATAATACATATGTCATGGTTTATTATATGTTTTCTAATATGTTAAGATAATTGAAGTGCTTCTAGATTAATATTTTCATTTGAACATTTTTGAATATACTACATGTTGGTGTTCAATCTATGCAACTTTTTCTCTATGGTTACTTCCAATCTAGACACGTTATTCTTAATAACTCGAAATACGACATATTATACTTCTAGCTCTCTTTTCTTACAATTTACTAATTTAATTAAAAAATAAATAAATATGCGTAACATCCGATTAATACACCAAATACTAATCAATTATACAATTTTATCGTTTTTATTTTTCATTGTAGTGTTATATATTATTACGCTAATAATATATGACACTACAATGAAATTTTTTGACGATGAATATGTAAACAGAAAACATCGACCCATTAATTAGGTTAACAACATTTATAATCAATAGGCAATAGTTAATATTATCATCAAATATTAGAAGTGTTATTTTTAAGGATACGTTTCACATATTTCATTTCAAGACAATAAAATATTAATTGTTCGTTTATAAATAGATAATCGGAAATTACTTATAAATATTTTTATTCTTGTAGTACTCCATTTACATATTAAATGTAGTTCCTTTATTTATAGACAAATAAAAACAAAAAGATAATACAACACTCCATATAATAATAAGTGATAAATAATAAACATAAACAGGAAATGAAGACTAAATAACGTGCTATATCAATTATTATATACTGTAAGGAACCTTTGTGAAGTTAATATCATGGACAATGAATGTGTCAAATGCATCTTTGATAAAACATCTATGTAAATTAAAGTCCCTATTAAAGTATAAGTGAATAAATAAAATATTGTTGTAAAACTACGTATAAGTAAAATTTTATTGAATAATAAATATGCATGTATAATGTATGCAGTAAATTATTGACAGAATATTAGTAAATTGAATGTCAGTTTTAATATAAAAAACAAATAGCACTGATTATATAAGATGCGAATCAGGATATGTAGAAAAATTTTATGAAGTTTAATAATACTGTATGAAATCATAACAATGATTTTGTATTTTAGCCAATAGAAGAGGGAAGGAAACTTAAAACGCGTATTAGCAAACGAATGTATAAAGAATACGGTACTTAGTAAAGTGGATGTTTCAATAATTTGAAGTCATTTTTGTCTACATCGTGAAGTAAAACAGACGTAAAAATTATGCAGCAATGAGTTGCTTAACTTTCTCGGCAATATTTAAAACTGAATGTGGCGCCATGTGTGGCTGTTAAAATGTTTTTATACTAACCTATATATATATATAAAACGGACGTGTGTGTCTCTATATTTCACTTTTCAGCGAAAACTACACATCGCACATGGATGGTGTTTGTATGTGGTAGTAGCCCCAAATCTCCATTTGTGCACTATGGTGGTTGCATTTCGATAGCTATAAGGGTGCGGGAGATATGAGGACTCAAAGTGGTTGACTTCGAAGATTTTCTATTTCGATTTTAAAAATGTTCGAACCGTTTTAAATTCGAATTTGTATTCGAATTCGAATTTAAATTCGAATTGGTTCGATTACAGAACGAATTTTCACTATCGTTACTTTTTGCCCAGCGAAGCCGGTCCTTGCAGCTAGTATATTATAATATTTTTAACTTTTATAAAATAAAAAAGCTTAATTTTCGGGGTTTTATAAAAAATTGCCCATGCTTTCGAAATGAACAGTGATAGTTTAGTATATACAAAGGAATAAAGTCAGCCATTGCTTTAAACCTTCGTATCTCAGTAAACTTTCACCTTAATTAAACATGCATTTATTAAAATTTACTAGAATATTTTAAAAAATTGCGCTGCAATTTAAGATTATAATGTTGGTTGCAAGGAAAAATTCCTAAATGTGTAAGCGTGATGAAGCCTACAGACTGTGGCCAAAATGTCGCTTGCCAAATGGGGTAATCAGTGTCATTATTTCACATGCAATAATGACAGGAAATAATCATGCTGACCCCAAACAACGAGTGAAGCTTGTTATCCAGGTTAATAAATGTATTCTTAAATTCCGCTAGGAAATTGCTAACAGCTTCATTTAATTTTCCGTGAAGTCTAACTGGAGATGTTAGAATTACTTCCTTCCTGATTACACCCCCAACAAAACAAACTCCACTCGTTATGCAGGAATCAACTTGAATACTTTTAGTCATTATTGCATCTAAAACAATAAGTACAGTGATTAGCGAATTTTTAGTCACATTGTATTTTACTCGGTTACATACAAACTTGCACTAAATTATATCAGACAATTTCGATATTGTATCACGATTGGATTTTTATGAATAAGTATTATTGCAAGTTAAAATTTCATCATGATTTCTGCTTTGATAAGAAACATCTCTCAGTTTTAACAAACTTGAAAAAACTGAGTGCAAGGATTTTGCCAGCTGAAAAAATTGGGTAAATTATTATTAGGGTTTGTTATTATTTCATTTTTATAAAGTTATTCTTCAAATATTTGAAAACTATACCTTCAGGGGAAAGTTCTTAGTGATATTGAAACAACCTCCTATTGATATAGCCAATGAGCACTTTCCAAAACGTTTCATGAAATCCAGGACCTATATATTTCAAGAAATACATTTTAAGAATGAGATAAAATTTAATATAAATTATAATGATTTGTGAATGATTTCACTAGTAATAATGCAACTTACTTTTAACTGAAATTGTACAGAAAGCTTGCTCGCTGCAACCCCACGAATATCTTGAAAGGTATTCTGTATCTAAAAAGCAACAATAATATTATTTTTTTTAAAAATAGCAATAATTACAATAAACTATTGTTTTCATTGAACATACCGAAAAAGCGGCATAACAGAGAAGAAATCCGTAAATGATACAAACAAAAGTTGATATAATAACTAAGCCAAACATTATGTATTTGACAGATTTATCCATATCTATATACAGATACATGTAATAGCTGAAACTGGTTCCGAATGTGACACTGGTATGAATTATAACTAATACATAATTGAATTTATTGTTCATTTGTGATACGTTACGCCATAAATCGTCTTGACGGGCTATGGTTTCTTCTAATAGAACTTGAAGGTTATTCTGGTTTCTTCTTAACAATGCGAGTTCTGAGGACAGCTGTTGAAATTCCTTTATGATTACAAATCCAATTATTCCTGCTAGTATTAAAAAAATAGCAATTCCACCGATAAGGTAACTGACCCATATTCCAAATTCTATGCAACAAATGAAAGCTTCACTTGCAAATGTTGCTCCCATACGCCAAGCAGGATACAAGATAAACGAATTTACTATTGCCATCGAAGAGATCAAGAAAATTACTATTACAGATATCAATAATGATAAATTATTAATTGTGTAGAATGCCTTTTCATTCTGAAAAATCGGATGCCTCAATTTTACATCTACATTAGTCTTGTTATGTTTAAAAAACGTGAGTATCGTTGAGCTAACGAATGATAAAATTAAGCCTCCAATTTTAAATTCTGTTGCTCCAATACTGATTACAGAAAATACAGATTCACAGGGGCATTTAAAAATATGAGTTGGTATAAGCTCCAATATCGCCAACACAAAATGTTCCCATGAAAGTATTTCAATTGTTTTAATGTAGTATTTCTTTATAACTTTATGAAAGTACGTCGAAGGTTGTCTCACTTGACAGTTACAAGGAATCAGTGGTTCTATACCAAAAATTATTGCAAAATTTAAGCAAGGTTGTAAAAGACAGTTGAAGCAAACCTCTTTTCTCTCTGTTGAATACATGTTTAGTACTAAAACACAATAATGAATTATCGATTTATTTATTAATTAAAATGACTTACCAACATATTTATTATGCAATTACCTTCTTTGTCCTTCAGTCATAAATTTTCAAACAAATTTGCATCGTAGAGTAAATTCCTGTTATGAGAAGGAATGAATATAATGCTATAATAAATGATAAATAAGATTTTAAACGAATTATGACAATAAATAAAGAATTAATGATATATGAACTAAAACACTTAAGATAATGGCCTATATAAAAAAGTAAATTATTAGTATATTTTAATCGGCTATCTGAACGTGCTTGCAGGTAAATTTCGACTAAATTGCTATTCTATTCAAGGTTCTTTTATGGTAGGAAAGTACTTAATTTAATAATATTTATTCTTGATTTTATGGTATTTTCATATGGTTTATTTCTTAAGAGTAGCTTTCTACTTTCTAAAGAGAAAATTTCAAACATAAAGTTTTAATCAATTTTTCTTTTAACATTCCAGTGCATAACACTGCTTTTAACATTCCAGTCCGTAACATCTCAATTACACATACCTTTTAAATGTAAATTTTATGTCTCTTAATGCTTTACTACCATAAAATTAAATGAACGTGATGTAAAATATGGAAAAAATTTCAACCTTATGAACAATTTTCTCAATTTTTAATTGCTATAACGTTAAATCTATAATGTTTAATAATTTTTAAATGGATTTTTATCATTTATTTCTGTTCTTTGACAATTAACAAACAACGTTGCTACTAGCACTATACGAAATTAACCATATTTTAATGGAAAAATGATATTGAGAAGAGATAATATAAAATATCAAAAGTATTCTAATTTAAAACAATATTTCTTAAATTAAAATTATTATCATTACTTCGTTTGTGAGTTCTGAAATGATTATTTTCCAATTGAGTTCAATAGGAAAATTATCAGGAACCCTGTCTATTTGAATAAACATGTTTGTCACCGTGATTTTATGAATATTTATAGGGCAATTATTTTCAACTGGGATGCCGCGACACACTATATTGCTGCGTAACATAGTTATGAGCACCATAACATTTTACATATGTGTTGACGGTATTTTCAGAGTCGATTTTTACACTGAAAAGCAACAAGTTTTATTTCAGCAAATAGAGCACTATACTTCGTTCAGTAAAAGACACAGCCTGAGTTGGAAGGTTATTGTTTTACTTTTTAAACAACTTTTATTACTGTGATTTATCCCTTTCATCTGACATAGATCCTTTCAACTCAAGCTAAGTCTGCTCCAACTCCTGTCTATGGTGTGTAATTTGAATATACTTGGCATAGTTTATTAAACAGTCGTAATGTTTGTATTAAATTTAGTGTATATTTACCAATTAGAACCTGATCAATTGTATTAAACAAGGAATTATATTTATATGTAATGTTCGAGATAGTGTTTCAGTATAATGTTAAATTCCACTATAAAAACGGTATGTATTTGAGTAGATTTAATGAACGTGTGGCAATCATACATGTATACGTAGGTTGTTTTTTTCAAGCTCCGATGGTCCATAAAAAGAGACAAAATGAATGGTGATATAAGGCACATTTTGGGATATTATCAGATTTGAATAAAGATCAGTTGTAAGTTTATATTAATACTAATATATTGATCATTTTGTTTTATAGCCTGAAGGGGTGAAAATATTTGTACAAAAATCATCCTATATGCATTGCTTAATTTAGAAAAGTAAATGATTGTTTTTCTCTCTGAGTATCCTTGGTGTTAATTTTTTATCTCTGATAAAAGGCGAATAAAGATTACAAACAAAATCAACATTTTTGTTTCGGAAAACCTCTCACCATTGATTATACACATAATCAATGGTGAGAGGTTTTCCGAAAGTACGCAATTGTTCACAACTTGCAGGGAGGGATCAAAAAATGGCTCCAAAATTGTACACGTATTTCATGGACAATCCTTATTCACATTCTAATATATTCAACATTTGAAATTAATTAAGATTATATTATATTGTTACTGTATGCAATCTATATTACTTTCCGCTTAGAAATATTTGGCATTTTCTGCTACATTGAGTAAATAAATATTAGAGAGTCTTCAATGACATTCAAATATATTTTCCAGCATTGTCTAATGTTATTTATTAAACTAAAGTAAACATACAAGACTTAGGACAATATCCAAAGACAGAAGTCGATAGAATATAATATGAAATTTAGGAATTTTTCAAAAACTTATTTATGAGACATGGTATTAAATTCTTAGGTTTGTGGTTTATTTAGTTATGGCAACGTGACACTGACGAGAGGTACTTTTATGGAAAACTGAACATATGTAGATATTACATACAGTCGATCCCCCTATAACACGGTAGATACGTTTCGTTCTTTATGAATCAATTTTGTACGAGTCCTTGCCAATCACAGCCCGACACGTGTGAAGTTTACGGACTACGGCTGTTTGAAAGGTTTTCTTCCATAAAATTAATCGATTCTACACTAATTCGACTCAACATTTCCAAAATATGTATAATTTTTTTGGGAATAATCCGTATAAACTATGCTATAAACAACAAATTGTAGGATTACTTACCGAGTGTGCACCGTTCGACGTTGCCATTGCTCAAGCTTGTTTTCGTCGCGGAGCAGGCACCAAACGGCGGGAGATTTCTGATAAGTTATTTTTCTGCGAAAACTTCGTTGAACTTTGGAAACAATCATTAATATAAATAATTTTTATGGCCGTTCAATAAGAAATGTTTCTTTCACAAGAAATATATAAAATTACAGTACTGTATCAGACTTACGGTACCTAATTTACATACTGTACAGACGATAGTAAACTCAATTTACCCGCCTAAATTTTCCGTAGCGTGGCGCTGGACGGCGGAAAGTAGTTCGGCTGCCCGATGACGTTTTACCGAATTATAAGAGTTTTTTTACCAGGTTTGTACGGATACCGTCGCAATTTTTTCGCCGTCTTATAGGAATCGTAATTATAGGAACCCGTGTTATAGGGGGTCTACTGTACATAAAGGAAACCCGGAATACACCACGTGCCGGCGCATTGGCGAAGCTCCAACTCACGACCAGCTAGTTACCAGTATTTTTATCTACTCATCACTGATTGGCTTTTAAATTCTTAGACAGAAACTATTAAATTGTTTATTTGTATAATAACAATAAATGTACAAATAGAGAAAAAGTTACTCGTCGTAGACTCGGCCAGATCCACATTGTCCCTGACAGATGATAAGATACGAGGCCCAACATATCTGGACGAAAAATTTGTGAAATTTTTTTTGACTGGGCCGGATTCTAACACATTTTGTCAGGCCCTCTATAGAATTCGACATAAAAACTTGTCTTTGTAATTGTATTTTCAAGGTAAACATTTCACACGTGTAAATTTTAATAAAGTAATGTATTATGACGTAAAAATTGTCGAAATTATTTTAGATAAGAGCATTAAATTTTTAAATAGACTTTCGGTTAAAGTATTAGTAAAAAGATTTGACTAATTTAGGGAATAAAGGTTATATATATATTTTTTTTTTTCATTTTTAAATAAATAATTATAAAAATTAATAAAATAATAAAATAGATGTTTAGTGAAAATGTTTTTATTGCTATAAAAATTTAATTAGAGGCAGTCTGACAAGTTTTCTACTTGTCTATAGGAAAATAACTTATGAATATGGATTATAATTTGACTTTTCTTAAGCTTTAGTTAATGAGGTTTGGCATAATTATTATTCTATTCGTATAAGGGTAAAATATTATCAAATCTTTAAACGTAATTTATTCAAAATAATAATAATAATAAATGGTTTTCCTGGTATATTTAATTGCTTTCATCTCAGAAAATGCGCACTTTATATGTACAAATATTCATTTACAGGATGGTGAGTAATAATGATGTATATACAGTCGACCACCTATAACACGGGTTCCTATAGTTCGGATTCCTATATGACGGCGAAAAAATTGCGACGGTATCCGTACAAACATGGTAAAAAAACTCCTATTGTTCGGTAAAACGTCATCGGGCAGCCGAACTACTTTCCGCTGTCCAGCGCCACGCTACAAAGAGTTTAGGCGAGTAAGTTAAGTTTACTATCGTCTGTACAGTATGTAAATTAGGTACCATAAGTCTAATACAGCACTAATTTTATACATTTCTTGTAAAAGAAACATTTTTTATTCAACGGCCATAAAAATTATTTATATTAATGATGTCTCCAAAGTTCAACGAAGTTCTCGCAGAAAAATAACTTATCAGAAATCGCCCGCCGTTTGGTGCGCTGCTCCATGACGAAAACGAGCTTGAGCAATGGCGACGTCGAACGGTGCACACTCGGTAAGTAATCCTACAATTTTTTGTTTATAGCATAGTTTATACGGATTATTCCCAAAAAAATATACGTGTTTTGGAAATGTTGAGTCGAATTAGTCTAGAATCGATTAATTTTATGGAAGAAAACCTTTCAAACAGCCATAGTCCCTAAACTTCACGCGTGTCGGGCTGTGATTGGCAAGGACTCGTACAAAATTGATTCATAAAGAACGGAACGTATCTACCGTCTTATAGGGGATTCGACTGTATTAATATTCTTTTTTCTAAAGCTATTCTGTTCTAATTGAAATTCGAAGTTTATCAAGTTTTGGCATATAATCCATGTAAAACTAATTTGTTTGTAAATATTTCACTGAAAAAATTCACAAATTATTCTATATTTTATTTATTAATAAAGCTTCATTGGAATGGACGGGAACTACATGAGAAATGTATCAGTTTTTTATCTTCTTTGTTAACTTGATCCCATAATGTAACGGTGCAATACTTCACAAACTGGAAATTGTTTATAAATATTGTTATTTATTAATGTTTATCTTTAAAATAAAATAAAAACATACGTGAAACTTACGCTTCCATCCTTGAAATCGCAATCGTTAGCATCTTCAAAGGTTGTTTCACTCTTCTTGCAGTCAGTTTCACGTAGAGTAATCTTAGCTTCATATTTAAAGCCAGCGACTACCTATAAAATGAATAATATATAATTTAAAATAGTATTTCAATACATGAATATTTATGGACGTTACTGGTAATAGCATATACAGAACATAATCTATAATAGTTCCTATCTCCAATAGATAAAATATTCAGATAGGCACATGAGAACATACATGAAAGATAATTTCTAGGGAAGGCAGTTTAGTATAATACAACTGGAAGAGCACTTTAACCCAGAACGTACACATTTGCTTAATTTATAAAACAGTAAAAACTATCAACAAAACAATTAGATATAATTAGATATTCTATTAATGTTTTAATAACCTATTCAGATGTAAAATGTTGGCTCTTACCTGTTTTCTCACCCGAACAATCTCGACTAATTTATGATGATTGCGAGATTTAAACTGCCTGTTAACTGTTATAGCAGCTATTTTTGCAAGATCTTGAGCTTCTTCATCATTAACATCAAGATCTTCCCACTGACCAACAGCTGCAGCGTAGCAGACAAGGAGAGCAAATACGAACCAAGCCTTCATGTTGAGCCTTAGAGATGTACAAGAAGAGTGGAGTAAGTTTCAAAAAATGTAATTTATATATAAGAAATGTATAAAGTTATCGGAATTGATTACAAAATCTGATAAAAATATGTTGGCTCCCACCACGTAATGCCATTTACGTAACAGTTTATCAGCTGGAACGGAATTATTTCATGGTTTTTAATGATGGAAGAGTGACAGCTGTTATTTTACTTCAAACAGTATCAACTGATATCTATACATTTATCAAAAGATATTGACAGACGGATATACTTTATCGTTGATATGAAAATCCACCTAATTTTAATTAAACCTTTTAATTAATTAATAATTTATTATTTATTTAATCGTACAGATAATTTGTTACTTCAAGTAATTAGTTTTAAAATAATTGAGAATATTCTACTTATGACAGTGGTATTACATTGATAACTCCGGTTTACAACGACTTTCAAGCAACAAATTAAACGGATCTCACTAAAATACTAATTATTTACTCAAAAATAAATATTATAACAGGAACCATTCGGGATATTAATCAATATGCATGAAAATATTGAAATTTTTTATGTACAGGATCTCTTCTTTATAGAGCAGTCTATAGACAATAAGAGGATTGATATCTGAAATTTTATGCACGAAATTATGCAAAAGATGCGAAAAAGGATTTTTTCAAAACAAAATTTAATTCAAAAACTTCTAAAGGTTTTTTACAGGAAAATACAGTCAACAAAACAACAAAAACGCATTTATTCGTTCCTCAAGAATCATGCCTTCTGAAGATACTATTTACTGATATAAGGAATGTTGCTCAATGTGTGACCCATTGTTTAGGAATAAAACTTAAAGGCAATGAACGGTGTGATTGAAGACGGTAAACACCGAGAAACAGCACATTTTATTCGTTATGTAAAATAACAGATTGAAACGTCACCTGTGTTTATTTCTCGTACTTTCCTGTAAAGTGTCCTCTAGCGGAAGTTTTCAAACTATCTTTCTGCAAAATCCCTTTTTCCATCCTATACACGGATCGTGTACAAATTTTGGTGTCAGTCCGTTTATTAGTTACACATACAGACTGATCTGAATAAGGAAACTTTAATTATAGCCACCCTGAATATGAATAAAATTCGTGTGCAATTGATTTCGTGGAGAATTACATAAAACTGTGGCTTCTAGATTTAGCTATGATTGGGTTTGAGGGTCATAAATACTGTATTTATATATACATTGTAAATACAGTACAGTGGAACCTCGGTATACGACCTTAATCCGTTACTGGAGTTTGGACTTATACCGAATAGGACGTATACCAAACCAACCTTTCCCATAAAAAGTAATGTAAAAATGATTAATCCGTTCTCATGTAAAAAAATGGCTGGCTTTAAACACCTCGCTTTCCTGACTAGTTTCTGCTTGATTTTTCATGAGAGCAGCATGTATTCTTTTAACTTTCTCGCAAATAATTTCTTCCGATACGCTGTCGCCGGCACACTGTTTTTCAGTTATCTAAAGCGAAAGCAATTTCTGGACATGATCTAATGTCTTCGATCTCTGTTTAGAAATTGATTTAACCTCTTTCGCAACGTTAGCAAATTTAATAATGTCTTTATTTTTCACGATTGTCGATATCGTCGTTCTCGGAATACGGAATGCAACAGTTAAATCTCGTTAAATCTCGAACACGCGTGCCACCTTCATATTTCTCAACAATCTCTTTTTTCAGTTCCGTTGTGATTCTAGTCATTTTTTTATTTTTCTGTTGCCCTTTTGCAATTCATGATTAATAAAAATAATAAAATGTTACTTACAAATTAAAATCAGAAGAAATTTAACAAAGTTATAAACCTTAGCACCGCGAACGTCTAGTCTAGTGTAGTACACCGATAATGCTAATTGTTCATAGATGGCAAGTATAATTGAATTAAGTCGTATACCGAATAAAAGTCGTATACCGAGCAAAATTTGTTTCGTCCGAACAGGACGTATTCCGAATTGGACGTATTCTAAAGCAGACGTATACAGAGGTTCCACTGTATTTATGATACAATATTGAAAAATGTAAGATAAATTGTCAGTACCAAAATTTTCGATAATTTTATTCGACCAAATCATCCAGGTAGAAAAATTACTAACATTTCTGTACTTTATTACTAGGTATATCACGCGACTTTGTCATACAGGGGTACAATTGAAAAGGCGTGTTGCATTTTTGTAATTAAAAGAATTTCAGTTAGTATTTTAGTACATATGAATTAGAGTTCCTTCTCTAACCCGAGCGCCGGTGTTTGGATGTATGTAAATGTGTGTCTGTGTGCGTGTGCGTGTATGTGATCAGAAAAAAACGGTTTCTGGCCACACCAGAATGCAATCTTTATGCTTGCCAACTGTCATGAAGCGATCCTCACACTTGCAAGAGTCGTTCTTTGCACCTGTTGGAACTGGAAATTCTGTTGTGTTTTGTGCCAATTTTCTGTTAGGTACACGCAATGATTTTCTTTCTTTTTCTTTGCTAACTTTCGTAAGGAAGGGCTCCTTATCATGTCAGTGTGCATGGGCATTGTCATTTAGCTCGAAAACGATGTCAGGCTTTCCCCTTTTTTTTTTAGTTTACCTTCTTCGGCTCTGTATTCCCCGACTTATTCGGGTTTCTTATTCATAACAGTGGGAAAGCGTGGCGATCGGTTGAAAAATTAACCCCCCCCCACATTTTTACATATTTTGACTTATAGGCCATTTAAACGTCAAGAAGTGCGAAAAACAAAATCCGGGTTTTTCTTTTTTAAATGTGGATGTTAGTGTGTGGAGATACGATCTTGTTTACCCTATTTGAAACTTAATAACTCCTGTGCTTTTTGTCGAAAATTTCTCAAATTTTTCCTGAAGTTTTTGTATTGGGGATTGATGCTAATAAATCTTTGTGGTTAAGGTCGATGGAAAGAGAAGAGAGATAAAAAGGATCTTGTATCATATCTCCAGTTGGGTCGGACTTATTTACGATTTTACTCGTTATTAGCATTTACAATATTCTTTTTAAAATCCATTCAAAGGCTAGGGTTATGTCTTCTCTCCTTTGAAAGAATGCCCTCAAAATTAAGGTTTTGCCATTTTATAATACTGTAATTAAAAATATAAACATTTTTAATAATAAAATATTATAACAGATGGCGCCCCAAATGCAGTTTTAATTGTTACTGGGAAAGTTAAGCAACTTGTTGATGAGCTTTTTTCAATCAGCTTTTTTACATTTATTCTAATTAAAGTATATTCATTTGATTTCTTTAAATATCGTTATCCGACATCTAAAATATTGGCACCCATAAACATCTTTGAAGCTATGTTTGCATACTATATGGCACGAGCACTCGAAAAGGACAGGGATTGACAAAAGGGATTGCAAAAAGGTTCGCAATCCCTGTCCTATTATTCTTACTAATCTAACCGCGCCTAACTGCGCGAGAGTTCACATCTTTGCCGAGGATTGATAATTACCTCGTCAATAAAAGTCCCTGAAAGCTTGAATTCTGGGTAGACAGGTCCCGTTTACCTTGTTTTTTCCTCTAAAGTTAACGAACTTCCGAATTTTTCTCGTGTTGAACTTTGGCGGGAGAAGGTGACTGGACGACTCGGGAGGCAATCACTAGAACCGAAACTAAGCTGGGCCTGGCAATCTTTTTTCCCTTTCTATAAGATTCGTTTTCTCCTCCGAGACAGGATATTTCCAAAAAAGGCAAAATCGGATGGTCTGTGGGCATGATCCAATCCGTGATTTCTCTTTCTCTAGTACTTCCCTCGATGAGTTGTCCTCTCAGGAAGAGGTGTCACCTGGAAAGGAAGTGTTATCACTGACAGAATCTTGTTAATTTCCTTTTCATTTTTTCAAAACTTTATTTAACGAATTATTTACTTTAAATTATTAATTTTTAAAAACTGTGGCCCGGGATATCACATTAACATGTAATTATATGGTAATTCGGTCATTACAGACAGACACTAGGGTGCGCGGCATCAGCATATCTGTAGAGATCAAATTGAGTACTAAATTGCTATTTCTCAGATATTTTGAGCTTAAATAGAGACTCGAATACAAGAATTTGAGATAGAACGTTTCCCCAGTTCTGTCGAGAAAACATTCCTTAGTATGTAAACTTCTTAAAATGCACGTATCTCTCGATACAACGTTTTTTCGGATGATATTTATATGAAAAATTTCATATTTAAATCTTTAAAACTCAATATAGCGTTTATTAATTAATTAACAAAATGTACGAGGACGTCTAAAGATGCATTTCAAATACAACTGATAGAGCATCTGAATGAGATGCAGACCTTTTGCGAAGAGGATGTTAACAAAAGTGTTGGCTCTGAATGAGGCATCGTATAACAAAAGCTAAACACCTTTTCATGACATTACTAACAGTATTGACATCTCTGTTTCTTGTAAATTTTGTCTGCAGTTTTCTAATAATGCTTTTATTGCTGTATTGTTGAGCAGTATCGTAAAGTTAATGTTTAAGGTACAGTATGCAGGCTGTATGTGATATTGCATACAAATGCGAGTGTATATTTACAACTGCATTAACTTGTCCACCAGTAGTCGAGTGGGTAAAACCATCAAACACTGCTCTCGGGTTCACACCTCGCCAACGGGCTGGCCACAAGGAGTTTTCCAAGTTTTCTTTACGTTTGTAATTTCTAATATGAGCAGTTTCCCATAAAAAATGTCCTCTGGACAGTGTTGCCGCAATAAAATTTCAAAACGTACTGAAGCGCCTTCAAAAAATGTACTATTTTCCTTCAAAATGTACTAGTTCTATGAATACTTTGTTTACGTGCCTATATATATAGGCACGTAATTTATATATATATAGTTTATTGTCAAATAATTAATTTTAAATCTTATTTTTGGAATTTTTTGAAAGCTATTTAAAATTAAAAATATATCTACACATTTATTACTTATTATAAAATGAGCATTACATTGACAACATTTATTAATAATACTATTGAATTTCATCTTAATTTTATAACCAATCGTGCTTTAAAAAAATA